TACTGTAAGTTGAACGGGACATTTCGAGTAAATCCGGTTGTCAATCCCAAAAACTGACAGTGGGAACGTAACCGTCCATGACTATAACACCGGTGACAAAAAAGTGAAATATATCTTTAATTATTCGTATTGACGAACAATTTTATTTTGCTCATTTGCAAACTTAAAAGACCTTGCACAAATGCTTGTTTTGAATGTATGACAGTAAAGTCATCTGTGAAGTATGAGATAAAGGACCTTTTTCAGGCACTTTCACATGTCTTTTGTCTACAGTATATTAGTCAATTTTCTATATTGTGATAAAAAAAATGACTAACCACACTTTCAATAATGTACAAATCTTGACAATGTGATCTTTTCATTGTCCTCATCACATAATCATTCACAAACATCAGTGCAGTCATTCCTTGACATCTTCCCAGTATAATAAATCCATCCGCACTCGAAAACTTATAGAGGCCGTGTTACACAACTCAACTCTACAACTTTATAGTCGAGCAGCGAACAGGCCAAACATTCAGCACTTCGACACAAATATGGGAGCGATTAGGAGTTCTTTTGAAACCGACAAGGTAATTAAAACAAGATAGGCCCTGGTTCATCGTAAATCTTGCATTTCACCACACACCTTTGCTTCTTTTCTCGTGCTGTTCTACAACCCGCGCTCACGATAGAAGTGAGAGAGCTGAAGCGTAACCAACCTTTTAACGCTCAGACCGCGCGGCAGCTAGAAAAATGAAGAAATAAGACGTCACCCGTTAAACAGCGAGGTCGACTGGTAGAAGGATAGCTGGGAGATAAACGTTTCTTCAATGAGCGGAGGTCCATGTGGTTGGCCTTAAGGACTTTCTGAGAAAAGACTGTTCTTAGTGTCCCGCTGCGGACGAAACTACACCCTAGCCGTTCAAGACGTTCCACTGGTCGCCCCTCGTCAATAAAAATGAGAAAAATCAAACGGAGGACATTGTGCGTCACACTGTGAACATCTGCCGACCAGAGCCGACAACTCATTCAGAAGCTGTCTTCAGTCTTCCTGTTTCATACGTGCTATATGATGCGATATGAGAACGTCTGCTGGGTGCGAGTGGCGTGAAAACGGGGTCTGATGTTTATCCCGGGACAGCTGTGAGAACATGAAAGGATGTAGCTCGTTAAACTTAAATGAAATAACTGAATTGTTGTGAATGACAACAGAAGAATCATTTAAGAACTGCTTTGGTCTTAACCAACAAGTAAACTGTTTTGACCAACTGATTTTTGTTCTTTAATATTATGACCACAACACTTGATTCCGGTAGGGTCATGTTTGATTTGGTTGTGCTAGTTTTATTGCCGTGACTGTGCTGTATAGATGCCACATGGCAGTGTGATTAAAAAGAAACAAATATATATAAATAAAATAGCCAAATTGCCTTTGAAGTACTACACTACCCATAATCTTGACAAGAGGATCCACCAATCAGAGCCACGGAAATGACCACCACGCCAGCAAACAAATAAGTAAACAGCTAAATGACGTTAGTCACTGTTACGCACCCTTAGACACAAAGTCTTTAAAGGGGCAACATTGAGGTCGTGATCAGAAGGTGGTGTAATTAAAATGGCAAGAGACGACACAAAGTATTGTGAAAAAATAAAGTACGGTTTATTGTACTTGTGAAATGTTAATGCAAAAGATGAATAAAAATAATAATAATACTACTAATAATGATAATAATACTTATTGTGGACACAAAGAAAAATAAACCAAAATATACAGATTGAGAGTTCAAAGTAAATAACCCAAGAGAATAAGGACATAAATAGTGATTTCCTAACAAATTTCCTACATTTGTAAACTACTTCAAAACTAGCATTCAAAAGTTTGGGGTCAGTAAGATGTTTTTAAGAAGTCTCTTGTGGTCACCAAGGCTGCAGTTGTTTGATAAATAATACAGTTAATAAATAGTAATTTGTGAATTATTATTGCAATTTAAAATAACCATTTTCTATTTTTATATTTATGAAATGCAATTTTTTCCTGTGTTCAAAGCTGAATTTTCAGCATCATTACTCCAGTCTTCAGTGTCACATGATCCTTCAGAAATCACTCTAATATGATGATTTGCTGCTCAAGAAACATTTCTGATTATTATCAAAGTTGTGCTGCTTCATATTTTCTTCATATCCTTGCTGAATAAAAGTATTATCACCAAATCATAACACACTAACGATCTGTCATTAGACTGTGTGGATCGTAACATTATGCTGAGTCTGACATGTACAGTAGCAACATTTCTCTCGATGAGGCTGAAGCTTTCAGATTCAGTCAAAGTCACCTACTGGAAACGACCTCCTGACATGTCAGCTCATGTCCATTAACCCTAATATTATTATTAAAAAAAAAAAAATATATATATATATATATATATATGTATGTGTGTATGAGATGTGTGAACACTCTGTTCTGTTTTTATTCAACTAAAAATAGAAGGAGAAAAAAACTGAAAAATTGGGTTACTTGTTCATGTACCAGCAGCAATATTTCAAAATAATCCACTTCACTGACACTGAGCGTGTGAATATTATATTTTCTTTGCTTCCATAGATTGCAGGCCTACTATAAGACGTGGGAGTTTCCTGACTTGACAGCTCTTTTTTCACTCTGTATGCATGTACCCACCCTCATGTGCTTTAAAGCTGAGCCGCTTGCCATCTCAAATGAGGCTAATACTAACAACAACAATCACCACATGAGTACAAGCAGCTCCAGAAAATAATTACACATTAAGCAAATGCACTTCATTTGTATTAATCACTTGGGTAAACAAATAAAGTGAGTCTGTTTTCCTCCAAGAGCGGATAAAGACGTGGCAGAGCGAACACAATCAATACCAGAGACGTCGTCATCCGACAAAAATTCAATCATATTATCAAAAAAAAAAAATCCTCCCCATGAATAATTGTCAAAAACAAACAAAGGTTTGTATGTTTGTGTGCACTGGTCAAACGTATGCACCGGTCAAACAAATGTTTGTATTGCACTGGTCAGTCCTTTCTAAAACATCGTTACTCACAGCAGAGGAGTGGTAACAAATATAACCGGACAGACACACAGGCATAACAAACAGAAATGTGCATTGTATTGACTCATCAGAGCAAACAAATGATAACGATAAATAAGCAATAAGGGTCTGAGGAAAAGATCAAAATTGTCTTTTTTTACTTGAAAATTAAATTAAAGAGGCAATTTTATGCCCTGGTACGTCTTGATTTAGTTTTTGGGCTCTACTAGAATAGGTTTTCATGCTTGAATGTTCAAAAAAACAAACATTAGCCCTATTCAGACGGGACTAGTTTTCCAAACGTAGTTTGAGTTACAATTCGTATCACCCGACGTCTGTGAGTTCATGTTCATGATTCGAGCAGGACCAACATCTCTGTGTTTTATTACAGAGGAGGGAGTGTGTGTTTTCTGTAGGCGTTACAGAAGGTCATCTGCTGTGCCTGCAAGCATCATGTATGAAGTATATGCTTTTACTTGAGTTATTGATATAACTTTTATTTATCATTAAAAAACCATTTTAAATAGACTTCAAATAAGTTTATAGAAATGGCTGTTTATAATAAGCCCACATAAGTGAGCAGAGACTTAATGTATCTTACCCGACACACATTAAAACTGATATTAAAATAATTAATTTTCTTCACCATTACTGCGATTTAGCTCTATTTATTCATTTTATAATTAAATTTTTTCTTCAAATACCATCCCTGTTGAAATGAAATGAAAGCATGCAGAAGATTGGTGTGCAAACGGTAGCTCAGCTAGGTCAAAAAACACATGAGGAGAAGCGTTAGTATAATAAAATATCGCCAATAGGGCAATCGACGGGATTAGTTTTCTCAGAGGACCGTTGAGTTTGCCGAAAAGCAGTAGGTAATTTGCCCTGGAATTTTTACTTAGTGTGAGAAAAACACAGACTTCGAAAGTACGAAGTTAAAGTACGTCTGAAACACAAATATCTCTAATGTCCCGCTGGAAAACGAATCCCATCTGAGTAGGGCTATTGTTGCAGCTCCTCTCTTCCCAGTCTGTCAGTAACGCTCTGTTTAGTTCCTGTCTCTATGAAGCCCCTCCTTCTGAAGAGCACACTGTGCTCTGATTGGTCGGCTGCACCAGCGTGTTTGGGAAATGTCCCGCCCCTTACCAGTACTGTGAGTTTCAACACACTACTAACTAACTCAACCAGGCCTCGTTCCTTCATTTTGCGTATGCCTTGGTCAGGAATTATTTAAATAAGAATATTGTGACGTGTTCGTTCCCGGAAGAAAACTCAAGACTACAATGGAGGCGGTTCAGGTAGTTTCAGGAAACAGTGCACAATCATAATATTAACAACTCCCTTTGGAGTGACTGTGTTTTGTAACTTTGTAAACCTTTTTTCATGTTCAAACAGCAACATTATACAATTAAGAAAGCTGAAAAGGTAAAAAAGCACAATAGATGCTCTTTGAATTAAATTTAAAATTAGATGACTCCATTTTTAAAGGTGCTCTAAGCGATGTCACGCGTTTTTTAGGCCAAAACATTTGTTGTCACATACAGCAAACATCTCCTCACTAACCACTGGCTGCCTGTCCCCTGAACACACTGTAAAGAAACGCGATCTCTGTGGACAGCCCAGGTTCCACAAACAGCAACAAAAACAAACTGGACTAACCCGCTCCACGAAACATGACAAACAGTTCCAGCCAATCACCGACAAGAAGGACTTGGGGGCGGGGTTTGGGGGGGTTAGTGTGCGGATGAGGAGGAGGGAGGGTCTAGCTAGCCTCCGTTTTGTTTGACAATACTTTAAACGTCAACAAGAAGTGACGTCACCCAACATCGCTTAGAGAACCTTTAAACTTTCAACATTTGCTATTGAGATATCATAGGCAGCAAAGAATACTCCAAAGCATTAAAACTTTAAGCTTATGATATAAATGGTAGTATATTTGGAAATAGTTAAAGGTACCTGATATGGGACAATGCTCCCATGGGCAGTTCCCCATCGTCTGGCCTCTAAACCAGCGTTGAGGTAGTTGGAAGCGATGTGAGTTAGACACGCAACCTGTAGACATATTGAAGGAGACAAAAGAAAATAAAGTTTTAAATCTTGAGAACGGTCAGTAAGCTCATTATACCCTGCTGTTCTGAGTGTTTTGTTCTGTTTTTGTGACACAGCAGTTCATGTAGCCGTGCCGTAAAACGTTCCTGGAATCCACTGTTTGTTATTCTGGAAAACTAACCAACAAAAACTTTAAGAGATGGACTGAAACCAAACAAACATTTAAAAAAAATCATATAACATTTCAGATTCAGCAATCATCTCGGTTGCAACGTTTGAATAAAGCCGTTAAAAAAAAGGTGTTGGCTTTTTTACGATGCCCAGGTGACATCAGATCAGAAGCAACGCAGCTGAGACAATATTTTGCGATGTATAACAATGTACTGAGAGGACGCTGAGAATGTTAAGGGAGGTGGAATATTTTGTCAGATCAAAGCATGTCGGTGATGATTTAACAGTCTCTGGACACAATTGTTGTGCGACTCCAGACCGGTCGGACTGTCCTGCTCTACACATTCATCACTTCCAGCGAGTTTATTTCCATGACGTCTTACACTGAGGCGTTTGTTTACCAAAACATTAGTTTCAGTGTTTAAACTGCAGGAAGCGATCTCATTTTTGTCCATATGTAAGCATATAAAAATCATTTATTAGGTCAACACTAAATCACATCGGTGACATATCTTAAATCAGGTAATACAATGCTGTGAATGTTTAGCTTGGGACAGTTTTGATATGTTAATAAAACAGATATACTGTAAAAATCTAGAAGTAAGCTCATTTATTAGGTCTTGGACTGAACCAGAGACAAACTGAAAAATGTGTAATGCGTACAATCAACTTGGATTAAGTGCATCTCATAAGATAATTAAAAACTTGTGTTTAAAAATCAGGGCCCGTATTCATAAAGAATCTTAATGCAAAGAGTAGATGTACAAGAATTCTAAGAAAATTCGTAGAAATGTGGGCGTTTACTCTTAAAATTAAAGAAAAAATCCTAGTAAAGAAAAAAGTAATTCAGAAAGCATCTTAACCCTTAAAAGAGGTCTTAAAGGGGTCATATAATGCCATTTTTGTACAAGCTAATATGATTCTTTAGGGTCTAAATTAAAAGTTTGTAATATACTTTCATTAAAAATTCTCATTAGTATTGTAAGAAAACACTTATTTTACCTGGTCAAAAACAGCTCTGTTTTCAGCACGCCGTTTCAGTGAATATGACTTTAAATGATCATGAGCTTTGCTCACCCCGCCTCTCTGTTCTGTGCATTCACCATTTGTAACTCAAAAACACAATAACCATAACGCGTTGTTCAGTATAAACGTGGAATTATGAATTATATTGAGAACGTCATACATAGAAAACATGCCGTAATGTACCCTGAGTGTAAACCTTAGACGCTTTCATTGTGAAGCGTGCAGCTAGCGATTTGCAAAGATTAATATATTAATATAAAGTTTAATAAAACGTTTCACTCACTTCCGTTCTTCTGGAGATTCAGCAGGAACACGAATATCTGGTACCGATCCTTTTTAGCAAAGCTTCTTAGCAAATCCAGCTTTATACTGACCCTCGTTTTTAAAGCAGTCTGCTGAGAAATGATTCGCGCAAACATGAGAGCATTGACGTTGCTCGTGGGGAATATTCCCTTCGAAACAAACTCAGCCACTGCGTCTTCAGCGGTTCGGATTTAGGAACATTAAAATGACTGTGTTCGTTATTACACCCAAGAACAGAACACCACAATCGCTTAGACGCCGTTCTGCTCATAGACAGTGCTCCAGCACATCAACAATGACCGAGCCGGTCCGGTCCGCGCCGCGCAGACTATGATTGACAGCTACCTCATGTGCGAGGGCGGGTCTGTGTTGAAACGCTCCCGTCAATCAACAATCGTGGGAGGGGCGTCCATTTTATTGACGTCACAAAAACGAACGGCTCGATTTGAGGCAGGGGAAAACATATAAGGAGATTAAAACAAAACCACTGGATGGATTTTTATCATTATATGATGGTTGTGTACAGACACTGTCAACACACATTTCAGTACAATCAACTTGTAAAAGTGCATGTACCATTATATGACCCCTTTAAGGTCAAAATTATTAGGAGTACGGATGAGGACTTTTAAGAGGCTTAAGAGTTTCTTTAGCAGAGGAGAAAATGACAGGACGATGAAGAGGGAGAAGAAATGTGATGCAGACAATAGATGACAGTGAGTTAATAAGACGCTATAGATGAGATCGTGCAGGGATCATGTTTGTGACTGATCTTATTAGAGACACACTAATATCTCAGACAGCGCAGGAATGCCATAATGCCAGAAATGAAAGTAATCACTTCATTAAGATATTTGGCAAATGGGAAAATGCAATAAAGCAGCAGTGCTTTGGGTTCTGTCACAACCTTCTAGCAGTGATCACACAAACATTACAGCACTTTCAGAACCTCTTATTGTGTCGCAGTTCATTGTTTCCACTGGACATTCCCACCTTGCAGGCTCAAAAAACTGCAGTTATGAATATAGCAGGCTTCCCTGGTGCACACAAGCAGGGCAATGAACCGTTAATAATTTGCGCTATAAGCTCCCATGTCCGCTTCTCGCTCCGTGCTGTGTAAACACGGTTCTTCTGGTTAGTAGGGCTTTCTCGTCTTTCTTGTTTTTTATTCCATGTTTGCTATATTAAAACCAACATTCAAACCACCACTTAAATAGACAGCAATCAGTGTTGGAAAGAGTGGAACATTTTTTATCATTCTAAGCCAATCACCTTAGGAAATTAACAGCATGGTAAAAAAAAAAAAGGATTTATATACATATATATAATGTGCGTGTTTGTGTGTGTGAGAGAGAGAGAGTAAACTCTATACTTAAAATTGCTTTTTTTTCCCTTCTTGGACAACCAACCAATCACAGTCTTCAAAAGATTGTGTCATACATAGCAACGGGGTCATCCCCGCCTCCTCACTAAGATGAAAGTTTTTGTCTTTTCCTTACTCAGAGTTGCTCTCAGATCGTTCCCGAATCGCTCTTAAGCTAAGACTCCTAAGTAAAAGTTTTTAAGCTAAATTAAGAGTTTTCTAAGAGGATTCTTAGAATCTTTATGAATACGGGCCCAGGTGTTTTCTTGAGAAATCATTGTCATTATTCAGAATATATGGAATTATATCATCCACATAGACACTTCATTAGTGCCACAGCCCTATCACCCTGTAGCCCAGGACTGGTTGCCCACTGAAGCAAGGTTGAGTCTGGTCAGTAACTGGATGGGAGACCTGGGAGAACCCAGTGTTATTGAGGCCAGCCTGTGGACTGTGTGGGTCCTAACGCCCCAGTATAGTGATGGGGACGCTACACCTTCAGATGAGGCGGTAAACTGAGGTCCTGACTCTCTGTGCTCATTAAAAAACCCAATGGCACTTCTTCCAACACCAGTATATGAACCTGTAAGGACTCTCAGATCCTCAGATTAGTTTCTTGTAATAGTACCACAAAGTAGAACTAAAAGATTCGGTGATGCTGCTTTTAGCTAGCCTTGTTAAAACCAGACCATTCTCAGTTGTAACTGAGTTATGGTCTGGCAAAGCATCATTGACAAATCATTTCCAGAGGGGCGTCACCAACGGACGTCGCGGATAGACCTAAACCCAATCAGAGCGATGAAGGAGATGACGTATGCAGAGCGGCGGAGAAACATCTCCGAGTGTTGTTCTTTGCTCAGTTTTTAACAAAAAGGAAACGTTCAAATCACTTAAAACAGACGCGATAGCTGATTCAAACGAGTGATGTTCGACGGCGGCATCCATCTTTGTAATGTAGGCTAAAATCTGCTTCAAAATCCCAGCGCTGTCGTCATCGTGTAAAGCCCGCCCCAACGTTTCTGATTGGTGCCGCGATTTCGGCGGATTGGAAATGGGCTTGAATGAGCTCTTTGCCAGACTAACTTTCAGAGCAAATCTAAATTTGCCGGAAGTTGTCTGGGTTTTCCCAGGCTAGCTTTTAGCCACAATGCTAATGAAGAAAGACGGCTGAGAATATGAATAGTTTTAAGTCTAAATTAAAAACATATTACTTTAGTCTTGTCTGCCTGTAATATCTTATAATGCTTTTTATATATTTCATGTTTTTCTTCATTTTTAGTTATTTTATGCCTTAGTTAATCCTTATCAACTAATTTTACTGGGTCTACTATCTATTGTTTCTTTTTTTGTGTGCCTGTAAATCACTTTGAACTGAATTGATTTGTTTGGAAAAAGTGTTAAATAAATACAATTCGCTTGCTAGGGGTAGGAGTAGGGGTGTAACCTAGCCAAATTCCCTCCATTGGCCCTTATAAATGATGGCCTGTAAATAATCCCCATCAGTCTCTCTGTGTGTGGCGAGCGCACTGGCGCCGGTGTGCTGTGGCTGCTGTCGCATTATCCGAGTGGATGCTCACACTGGCGGTGGCTGAGGAGAGATCCCTCATATGATTGTAAAGCGCTTTGGGTGTACAGCAGTACACAGTAAAGCACTACACACACACACACACACACACACACATCCATCCATCCATCCTTCCGCCCCTACATGCACCACAACCTTTTATTTTGTTGTGACTTAGAAAATAATAATAAAAGAAAAGATTTTTCAACATAAATAACCAAACATAAGCTCGCATTGCATCGTGTCAACCCCAAGTATCTACCAGATATATTAATACTGTATTTTTTGCTCATTGTTTTACAACTGTTTTCAAATAACATGAATTCTCATTGATTTTATTTCCCCCTTTTTTAACATTCTCTGTTTTGACAGCACTTCACGAGGTGGGTACACAGTGTTATTTATTATTTAACACATTATTTATATACTATTATAGTATTTATAAATATATTAACATGCATTTATTAATATTTTTAATAATTAGCTTTTATTTTTAATATTCTTAGTTGTTATTTGTAAAGTTTTAGTAATCTACACGGTTGTCATTTTTATTAGTTATTAGTTATTTTTTTAAAT